TCAAGCTCAATCATTCCCTCAGGTGAATCCAATCTACAGATGAAGCTAGAAATCAATATTAGAAAGATAGTTCATAAATTCCAAAATTATCTAGTGATTAAACAGTGTAAATACCACATAAGTCAAAGAAGTCTAAGAGAAATTAAATATTTTAAATTAAATGAAAATGGGCATACAACTTATAAAAATTTTTGTCATATGTAAAATCAGTGTCTAGTGAGAAGTTAATAGAGTTGAATGCATATAAGAAAAGAAGATAGAAAAAACTAATAATCAAAACATCTACAAAAAGTAAGAAAATCCAAAGTAAGCAAAAGACAAGAACTACTAAAGACCAGAGCAGAAATCATTGTGACTAAAAACCAACAAGCCAAAAAAGAAACAAAATCAATATATCTAAAACCTGTTATTTTAGGTGCCAATAAAATTCATAAACCTGTAGCCAAATTAATCATGACACAAATTATCAAATTAAAAAATAAAAAAGGAACAACACCACTGATCTGATGGAAATTAACAGGACAGTAAAGGAACATTTTAAACAACTATATGCTCATTAATTTGATATTTTAGATGAATCAATTCATAGACAATTAAAATCTAACATAATTTACACAAAGAGAAATGGGGGAAATCCAAATAGCTCTGTATCTGTGTTAAAAATTGATTCAGTATTCCATAAGTTTTCCAAAGAGCAAGTCCATATGGTTTCACCGATGGATTCTACAAAATACTTAAATTATAAACTATTAATTCTCTATATTCTCATTTAGAAAATCGAAGCAAAGGTAATAATTCCTAACTCATGCTGTGAGGCTATTGCTCTAGGACAAAAGTACATTAAAGGCATTACAACAAAGGAAAACTATAGACCAGCATCTCTCAAGAACATAGAGGCAAAAATTCTCAAAAAATACTTAAAATCAAATTCAACAGTAGTAGCAATGAATTATACAGTACAAATAAGTGACATTTATCCAGGTTTGCATGGCTTGTTCAACATTAATTTACCATATCAACACACTAATGAATCAAAATAGCATGATCATATCAATCAGTGGAGAGAAATCATTTCACAAAATCCATTTATGATAAAGACTGTCTCAAACTATGAAGCTGAGGAGAACTCATCTTGATAGAGAAAATCCATATTTAAAACTACTATAACTCATGTTATGATCAATGTGAGAAATTACATACATTACTCCTAAATTGAGGAACCCAGGATATTTGTGCCCTCTTACCTCTTGTCTTTATTTAACATTGTACTGAAAGTTCTAGCTAATGCAATAAGAACAGAAATAGAAATAAAAGTTATACCAATTGGTAAAAAAGAAATAATCCCATATTTGTTTGTGTATAATGTGATTGTCCATGTCGAAAATCCTAAAGAATCCAAACTAAGAAGTATTTTATAGCAAAGTTGCAAGATACATGGATAAGATAAAAAAAAAAGTCAATTGCTTCTCCATATACCATCAGGAAACTCTAGGAATTTGATATTTTGAAAATAAACGCCATTCATACTAATACCTAAAAATTTACTTTCCTATCAACAATGTGGGAGAGTTCCAATTTCTCTACAATTTTGCTAACACTTGTTATTTTACTTTTATCATTGTAAATATCTTAGTGATTGTGCAATGGCGCCTCATTGTGGTTTTTATTATTGTAAATATCTTAGTGATTGTGCAGTGGCGCCTCATTATGGTTTTGATTTGTATTCAGCTGGGGCCTAATGATGTTGAACATTTGTTCATGTGCTTTTTGGCCATTCGTGTCTTTGGAAAAATGTTCAAATAATTTTTCCATTTTTAAAAATTGGGTTGTTTTGTCCTTTTTATTTTTGAATTGTAAGAGTTCTTTAATACTAGGTATTAGAAGCTTAGATATATGATGTAGATTATATCTCCTATCCTGGGGATTCTCTTTTTATTTTCTTGATATTCTTTGTTACAAAAAGTTTTACATTTTAATGAAGTCAAATTTATCTGCTTTTCACTCGTGTTTTTAGTGTCATTTCTAAGAATTCATTGCCAAACCCAAGCTGATTAAGATTTATCACCAATATGTTTTAAGAGTATTAGCGTTTCAGAAGATGAGAAAAACGGTGGTGTGGTAATTAGAAACAAAATATATTATCTCCGAGACCTGGGGTCCAGACACTTGGAAAATAACAACTTGAGGAAGAAAATAAAAGATCTCTGAGAATCAAGAGGGATCTGACAGAAAAATTGGAAAGTACAGAGAAGGTGGAGAAATGGACCACAATGCAGAGAAAAGAATGGGAGAATTCCATCTCCAGCAGTTTACCCTGGCTCCTGGATGGGGAATTTGTCTCTGCAGACAGAAGCTTCCTGGTAGGGCGCTCCAGGGATAAACAATATACTGGCTCAGGGTAACTAGTTCTCCCCTCCCCCACAAAAGCCCACAGCTATTATAAACCACAAAGCAGCATAGGGTTTTACTCTGAAAGTGAGATCTTCCACACTACAGGCTAGACTTAGAGAACAAATCCAATGCAGTGTCTACCATGTTGCCAGAGAGTTTAATCAGGTGCCATTTCAGGAAAAGATTGATTATTTAAGACTGAGCCATAGAAAAACTGCAAAACAGCTTCGCCTCAGGGTTCCCAGTGTAATTCTCCCACAATGACTGAGAGACAGCTACGAGTAACACTCATGGGCAGAAAGAGGGCTAGATACAGACCTCCTGAGAAGTTTAAGCTCAGGCCAGAGAGGACACTGGTCACACTTTACATGGTGAAAACCTAGGCCCTGTGTGTGTGACTTTCTGAGGTGGCCCGATCTGAAAATGCAGACATTAAATACAGGAATCTGCTTGAACACTTGCGCTGATGCCTGCCTACATCCAGCACGGAACAGAACTCTGATTGCTTTCCCCATCTACCACCATAAGCAAGGACATGCTTCTGCTAGGATGGTTGCCGCGATCTGGGGTGAATGAGCAGAGGGGCCTGTGGTATTGGGGTGGGGTGCAAGTCACCAACCCACAGGCCGTGAAGCTAGAAGGAGAAACTGTGACTTGCTGGATTCTAAAAGTGCAGATCCTGGAAACAAAATATTCACTGAAAAATAAGGGGAAATTGTTTTTGAGGGTTTTTCTCTAAAGTCATTTTTTTCCTCTTTCATTGATTTTGGAGAAGGGGTCTAGGATTTTTCTTTTTATTTTCTATCAAATCAACACACAAAAATCAATAGCATTACTGTTCACCAATAATAAACACCCTGAAGAAAAAATAGGAAAATAATACCATTTACAAGAGCATCAAGAAAAGTGAAATATTTAGGAATTACCCTAACCAAGAAAAATGATGTCTACAATGAAACGTATAGTACTATGAAAAAGGAGATTGAAAGAGATATCAGAAAATGAAGAGATAGCCCCTGTACCCGGAGAAGCAGAACCAATATTGTTAAAATGGTCACATTTACAAAACTGATACGTAAGGATAATACAATGCACAAATACCAATAGCATTCCTCACAGAACTGGAGAAAACACCTAAAATTCATATGGAGCAAGAAGAGACCCAGAATAGCAGAATCCATCATGGACAACAAGAGCAAAGCAAGAGGAATTACAATTCCAGGCTTCAAGTTATACTACAAAGCTACAGTGATAAAAATAGCATGGTATATGCCTGGCAAGCATGAGGTCATGAGTACCAAAATAAACCCACAGGGGCTGGGGATTTAGCTCAGCAGCATAAGCACCTACCTTATAAAGCAGGCGGTCGTGAGTTCGATCCCTGGTACCAATAAAAATGAAAAAGACAAAAAAAATAAAAAAATAAAAAAATAAACCCACAAAGGCATGGCATTGGTAAAACCAGACATATGGCTCAATGGAACAGATAGGTGATGCAGAACAACTTCAGGAACATTCAGCTATCTGATCTTTGACAAAGGCACTGAAAACATACACTGAAAGATTAGTATCTATCAAATGGTGCTAGGGAAACTGACTATTCACATATGGAAGAAGACTGAAACTAGAGAATATCTCTCACCATTTGTAAATAAATTAAAATGGGTCGAATATATAAATGTTAAAATAAAAGCAATCTGTTGGAAGCTAAAATTGGTAAAACACTTGAAGACATCTGTAGGCAAAGATTTTCAGAACAAAACTCCAATAACAGAAAATAAAATACCAAGAATCAACAAATGAGACTATATCAAATTAAAAAGCTCCTGCACAGCAAAGGAGTGAACAAAGTGAAAAGAAAGTGAAAAGAAAACCTAAAGAATGGAAAAATTTGGTAGCTACATCTCGTACAAAATACTAAGATCACAATATATAATCAGCTCAAAATATTAGAACCCATAAAATAAAAGACCAAATCAAAAAATAGTGTGTGAATAGACAGTTCTCAAAAGAAGTATCAGCAGTCAATAAATACATGGAAAAAATCCAACATTACTGGCTCTGAGAAATACAAATTAAAACAACGCTGAAATTCTAACTTCTGCAGGATAAATGGCTATCATCAAGAAATCAGATAAGCAGAGCACGATGGTGTCCACCTGCTAACCCAGAGTTTAGGACGCTGAGGCAGGAGGCTCACTGCAAATTGGAGGACAGCCTGGGCCACATTGTGAATTCAGTGTACAGCCAGCCTGTACTACATAGCGCGACCTCTCAAAAAAAAAAAAAAAAAAAAATCAAACGATAACAAATGTCGGTGTGGCCATGGGAAAAAAGGAATCCTTTTACATTGTTAATATAAATGTAAATTCATGCAACCACTATGGAAATCAGTACGGAGATTATTCGAAGAACTAAAACTACAAACGCCATTTGCCTCAGCTATTCCCCTTCTATGCGTCTTCCTGAAAGATCTAAAGCCATCGTATTACAGTGACACATGCATATCCATGTTTATAGCAGCACAACTCATAATTGCTAAATCTTAGAAGTAACCTATATGTCCGGTAGCAAATGAATCCATAAAGAAAATAATGGTCTGGCGCCACCTGACGCCAGCCCGTCCTGCTCTCCATGGCCGGCCTGATGCTCGGAGGGCGCGGCAGCGGCGGGGGGCGTGCTGCGTGCACCTGTGAGACGCGGCTGCGGAAGCTGGGACTCCCAACAGGGACCCTGGCAGTGGCGGTGAAGGCGGCACAGCGAGCGACGGCGAGCACGCAGGCGCAAAGCAGCCACCAGCCATGCCACTCCCGTAAACACGTGTTTAGGGTTCGTTGGCCTGGAGGGTGCGCCCCCTCGCGGCGGCCCCTACATGGCGCCCCTCCACCCGACCCGAATTTTCCTTGCCCACCTCAGCAGCGCTGCTGCGCATCCATAAGGTGGCGAGACTCCACGAGGAGCAGGCAACCATGATCACTAGCTGCAAGAGAAAAGCCAGCATTGAAAGACGGTAGATGATGACCGTGATGCTCTTCAAGAAAGGCTCAGTAGGGACGGGCATGGCGACACGTGCCTATCCCAGCACTCAGGAGGCTGAGGCAGGAGGATTGCTATGAGTTCATGGCCAGCTTGGGCTACATAGTGAGTCCAAGGCCAACCTAAACTACATAATGAGACTGTCTCAAAAAAGATTAAATTAAATTAAATTTTAAAAGACTTAGTATCTGACTTGAAAAGCTCTCTTACAATATCATGGTACCATTTGGTCCCTTTGCCTTCCTGCCATGTAAACTTGCCCATACGAATGAAGTGACTATTTTGCTTGGGCACAATTGGTTTGCAAAGTGCTCTGCCAAGCAGGCTGTGGGTTTATTTGAGCACTGGAAAGGACATATGAGAAAAACAATAGATGATTTTTTAAAAAGTTATGAAAATTTTGAATCCTGAGTTGATGTCACAGATTTGCAGAAAATGAATGCTGCATTTGAAGAACTGGAGAGACAAGAATTTCTGGGCAAACGACAGGAAACCTCATACTGTGATTACAAATGGAGAAGATACAAACTCTTATAAACAGGGAAAGGAATATTGACACACAAATGTGGATGTGATGTATCAAGTAACAGACTCCCTTATTCCTAATACTTGTCTAAGTGTTTTATAAGTTGAGAACTAGGCCAGGAATTTAGCTCAGTGGCCTGCCTTGCAAGCGCTCGATCGTGAGTTCGATTCCCAGTGCCAAAAAAAAGAAGAAAAAATGTAAGTTGAGTAGTCAAGTGAAATCAGTATTCAAGTGAATAGTACATTGAACTGTTCCGTGAATGGTTCATGTTCTCATCACCTTAATGAAGACGATGAAAAGAATATGATGATAATAGTGGTGGTCGTGATAATGAAAATAACCGTGATGCTTCAGGGCTTGGAGATAACATTGCACCAACAATATGCTTTTCTCATACTGTTGAACTTAGGAAGGTTTGAATAAATACTGGGGGAAAATACTACTTTAGAATTCAGTGAAAAGAAAGAAGAAGCCAAACACACATGAAAGAACAGCTCTGGCAATGGTCCTTCTGCCCATGGGCTGCCTACAGTCAGGACTGCTGACATTTACAGAGTTTTTATTGAGGTTGTGAATGGAATAAATATGTCTCTCATAAATCAATTCTCAAGTCTCAAAGCGTAGAAGTATTTGTAGTGATACCAGTGAGATCAGTGCTGATGAATTTGTTGCAAGTCGAGGAGTTTTGAGGAGTATTAGTTGTGAAGAAGCCCCTTTGCGGTGACGCCAATGAGAGCATTTTGGAAGAAGAACCACAAGAAGAAAGTCATCAAGGGAAACTTTTGCCCTAATTGCAACCACCTGAGGCTTTTCCCAGACTGAAATAGAAAAAGAGGGGCTGGGGATTTAGCTCAGTTGCATAAGCGCCTGCCTTGCAAGCAGGCAGTTGTGAGTTCAATCCCTGGTACTGATAAAAAGGAAAAAGACAAACAAACAAAAAAAAAGAAATATAAAATTAATTTTTATCACGACACCTGGTCATTGCTCATCCTGTACTACCCAGAATTCCAGAAAGAAAAGAAATTGTGTCAGAAGCATCAGAAGAACCTGCAAACGGTTTCAAAGTTCAAAGCTGCCAGATTGCAGCAGAAAAGCTAGGAAATGGGAGTTTACACCCTGCATGCTTAGAACATACACAGGAAAATGTTAACATAGGTTAAAATAAGGCATCCCAAGTCAGTTTGGCAGCAACTTTTTTAAAATCTTTATCAGTGAGTCGTGCTAAAAAAACTTCAAAGTAAATGTTTAAATACTTTACCATTTAACTTGTTTGTTCATTCTCTCAATACTAAGTTGGTCTTTTGATGCAGCAGTAATATTTCAAGTTATTTTTCAAAGAATACTGTGCATTGGTTTTGTATTTCAAACTAAATACAAGCAGTTTTGTACCAGCTGTGATGTTGGGTATACCATAGGGACCATTGTAGGAGATAATTTGAGTGACTCCCCTTGAAGGCAGAATGATTGCTGTGACTTTGAGTATATGGAAACTGATTCCCTTATACTGATATGTGCAGAGCTGACTGTAATATTTCCTTCTCTCTTCAATTGGCTAAATATTGCAAATAAAGCTGGCCGAGATTACTGGTATGTAATCTCTAAAGCTATGAGACTCCTGTTTCCTCATATATTACTCTCTGTAAATGATCAGCATAGTGGGGTGGTACAGCCAGTCAGCTCCAGGAATGTCCCGCTGGGTAGGAGCCTCAAAGCAAGAGGCCATGACTCCCCAGGGCACAAAACTTTACATATCAGAAACTGAAGCAACAGCCTCCTAAAACAATTCAAATGCTATTTTAATTGCATTATGCAGATTGATTCTTCTGCATGTCATTCTCTCTGCATTTTGCAGAAGTGCTTTCTCCCCACCTGGCGAGCCAGCTCAAGTTACCCACTTAATTCCCGCCATGCTCACTGTCACTCATCCCTGCCCACCCCCCTTCTTCACAAAATAATAAATTCTGGGAGAGGCCTTTGTCCACACATCCTCGCAGGGATTGGACCGAGGACGCCTCGGCTGCCCTTAACTTGGAACATGTTTTGGTGTCTTTATCTCACTGTGGGTTGCATTGGAGGTGGTACATTGGAATTAACTTGCTGGGATTCCAATAATGTCTCCATGGGATTGTAAATATATAACTTTTTGGATTATGAGAAAGACAGAGAAAGAGATTACAATACTTGGATTACCGTATTCAATATTTGGGATTACAATAGACTATTTAAAGAAACTTTTAAAATTTTGATGGATTCAGCAATTATATTACTTGCTTTTCCATTGTAAAGGTACTTTTAAAAAAACCTACTGCCCTTATAGGTTTTGTAGCTGGGTGGCTAATTGAAAAAGAAAAAGAAAAAAAAAAAACCAAAAAACCTTTCTCCTCTTTAAATGAAATACTATAATCTTTAAGGCAGAAAGCTACATGTATCCTATGGGAAAGTCTCTTTCATTGGAAGAGTATTTTGTAAAAACATTTCTTCAAGTAAAAATTTTATGAAACTTGGCCTGTAAAAAGAAAACAAACAAAATATGGTCTTTATACACATTGGAGTACTATTATGCCATAAAGATGTGTAACTTTGGGTCTTTTGTAGGGAAATAGGTGCACCTTAGGAACATAATGTTAAAAGAAATAAATCAGACACCCAATCTTAAATATCAAATGGTTTCCTTTATATGAGAAACCCCAAAGCATAAATAATTGAAAAATAAAATTAAAAAGACAGATGCTAGAAACAGAGAGGTGTTTTGCAAAAGGGTAGGGAACCAACAGAGGGAATGAGGGAGAGGAATGAAAGGGAATTTTTTAAAAAAAAATATAGTGTGTTATGTACATATACCAACTCCCCATGAGAAATGTAGTCATGGACTGTAAACGTGTATCAACAAAAATATTAAAAAATAAAAATAGTATGGTTTTTGCTGAACTGAATTTAATTTTCATTTTGTTAGTTTTTAATACAGTGTAAAATAGGGCTCCACATTTAATCTTTAATCCACTTCTTCAAACATCATTTGTTTAAAAGACTGTTATTTCCCTAGTGCATGATCTTCATGCTTTCTGAAACATCAGTGGGATATAGATAGATGGCTGTCTTTGTAGACTCTGTATTCAACATTTCTGTAGCGTTTCATATGCCAGTGCCACACTGTCTAAATTACTAGAGTGTAGGTATGTAGGAAGTTTTGAAATTGGGTAGTATAAGTCCTCCAACTTTATACTTTTTCAAAATTGCTGTAGCATTTGGGACCCTCTGCATTTATTGTGTATGAATTTGAGGATTGGCTCTTCCACTTCTGAATATTTTGATACTGTGGTTTTGATAGTGATTGTAATAAGACTAAATTGTGTTGGATAGTTTTGTCACCTTAACAATAAATCTTCCAACTTCTTAAGATGATTGGCTTCCCATTTATTTAGGTTACTTTTTCATCTCTTTAAGAAACGTTTTGTAGTTTGCTATGAACAAATTTCATCTCCTTGTTTAAATGTATTCATTGTCATTTTAATCTTCCTAATGCTTTTATAAATGAAATTATAGTTTTAATTTATTTTTCGACTGTTTATTGCTGGCATATAGAAATATAACTGACTTTTACATGTTGCTCTGGGTACATCCTGAAACTTTGCCAAAAATTTTTCTCTTTTTCCTTAGTACATATTTGTGATACATAATGAACGTATTCATTGTGAGGCGTCAATATGTAGGCATATTACATTTTGATCCTTTATTTTTTAGCTCTAGTAATATTTGGGGGATTCTTCTTTATGGGATTGCTTTGAGATTTTCCACACCATGTGATCTGTGGGCTCAGACAATTTTATTTCTTCCTTTAATATACTGATGTCTTTTATTTCTTCTTCGCTAGTTGTTTGGGCTAGATCTTCTGGTATAACCTTTGGTAACAGATTTAAAAAAGAGAATCTTTTTCATATCCCTCTTTTGTTTTTTTTTTTTTTTTTTTTTTTTTTTTTTTTTTTTTGTCTTTTTGAGACAGGGTCTCACTACGCAGTTCAGACTGGCCTTGAACTCACTGCAAATCCCAGAATAGCCTCAAACTCACAGTGATCCTCCTGCATCAGCCTCCCAAGGGCTGGGATTACAGGCCTGTCTGGCTGTATTCCTCATATTATTGGGGAAACTAACCTTTTACCATTCAATAAGTTATTAAATGTGAATTGTTCATACGTGCTTTTCATCATGTAGAAATTAAATTCATAGT